TGTTTGTTCGAAAATCGAACGATGGACAAATAGAAGAATAAAGGAAAAAAGTGAACGGTATCGTTGGAACATCCTGTTTTCGTAGTCGGAATCACGATTCGAAGGACATTTGGTCCGCTATGCGAGACACGGTAGCGGGTGCCACGGAACAGGCGCGAACGTTTCCATTCCCGTGACTAGAGACCCCTATATAACAGTATACGTGCGCATAACGCGGCGCACGGACACGAGCGGCGCACACCGCCGACCAGCAGTCGGCTTAATTCACCCGTACAAATTGCACAAAGCTGTCTGCCGACGATTCCTGTTAAAAATACGTCGTTGCGTTTACCACAGTCTGTCGATAGGGAAAAACATCTCTACGTTGCCTTTGTATCTTCCGACATGACCCGACGAAATGTTGAAAACGTTTCTCTCTCCATTAAATACGATCCACCATTTTATCTACTATTTTAATATTCATCGCGTTTTAAACTTTATCGCCGCAAGTGAGTCACTCTTGCACTTTTTTTTTTTTTTACAATTTTTCTTACAAATCTATATATGCGCGCTATAATGATATGCTATATAATAACACTGATAACCGATAACCATTGAGGAAAACAACTTGGTAAAAAAAAAAAAAAAAAAAAAAAAAAAAAATAAGACGGTAAAAAGACAAAGTTGAATTTGTGGGTGATGATTCCAATTTATCGTCGAAAATGAATCCACATGAGAAGCACTGCTCCAAGACCCCTCTATATATAGAAACGCCGGTTTTATCTTTTCCTGTGGATATTTTCAGACAGACCACGGCCCTTGGACAGTATTGTTTGGCTCCAGAGAATCGTAGTAGTATCGATACTACTGCTTTTTTTCACTCTCTTCATTCGATTCTTTGGCAATCACGTTTAAAGCGTGATTAGAAGCGTATTACAAGATTATCGATACCAAAGACGAACCAGAACCGCATCATCGCATCTCACGAAATAGCATCAAATTATCTATTCGTCGTAATTAAACGAGACGTGGCTCGATAATTTTCTCGTATAATTTTATTCTCTTTTATATCTTTGGTTTAAATTTAATAAATCGCCACGTTTAACCTTCAATCTTACGTTTCTACAAGTTTTAATAAATTCGTGCTTCAACGCGAAACAAAACGTTCGAAAAATCATGGATAATCGATCGAACGAATAATCTAACTCGCTTGTCTTAAATTAATCGATCGATTTTGATGAATAACAATGCGACAAAAAGATCTCGATCGTATCTCTCGAAACATTTTTACATTTCGATCTGAACTGTGTCGGAAGGAAGAAAATATTGGGTTCGCGCAATTGTCCATTTTGTTTGGCAAAGTTCCAGACATACTGTCACAGAGAGACGTAGAAAGGAAAAGAAAAAGAGAGAGAGAGAGATATGCTGCAGTTGCGAACAGCGTAAAAGGAAGAAAAAGATGGGAAAAGAGTGGGCGTCGGTCAGCGAGGTTTCAACTTGGTTGTGCTAATGTTGAAGATTCTCGTGTTCAGAAACAACTTCTCAAGATCGTGATTCTGTTATTAAACGAGCAGGTACGACTACGTATCTTTTTTTATAATTCAATTGTCTATCGAACCATTTTTTCCACAAAGTTTTTATGCAGAATTGCGAAATACATACTTGAAATTTAAACTGATAAGTTGATAAATTATTCGAAGAATCATCTTTTCGTCGTAATATCGAGTTTATACTTTTCACTTTTTAAATTTTCAGAAATAAAAATTTCTTTCTGTCGATCGATCGAAATAGAAAATATGTTTTGTTCGATTGATGCACGTAATCGCACGGATTGATTCCGTCCATTATTTTGGTCATTGACAGGCATTGGATAAACACGAATAAAAATATCCCCGCGATTTGTACATTATGATACTTAAATTTCCCTTTCACTTTACAGCTGGTTCCCAACTCTAAACGTCCGATAGATCGATATTATCGAAATGACTTTGAAATATCTAACGGGAATATACACACAGTAACGTGCATTTATCGCGTTAATCTTTTAGATATTTTTATTTTCGCGTTTCGTCGCGTTTGTCCGCTCCTAGAACGAGAGAGACCTCGAATAGGCCAAAGAAAACTTTCGCATGGCCCTGGAACGATTCTCCATGAGTCAAACCGCGGTTTCTACACGATGCACGACCAACTATCGATGAGTCATGAACAAGCATCTATGATGGAACGAAATCCTACGATTATTGCGAGCAACCGTATCAAATGATCAAAAGATCGTTAACAAATCGCTAGACTGGATTAGAAATATGTTTTATGTTTTATACGAAATCAGAGTTGAAACACGTGTTATTCCGAATAAAATTATATAACGCGTTTTAAATTTATCGTCTCGTTAAAAAAATAGATTTAAAGAGAAATAACGCTATTCCAGAAATAACCTTAATTTAATTTCAATCGCAAACTTTATTCCGCACGATAATCGATGTTTTTCCGGTTGGGTGAAGGGACCACAATTACGTGTCGATTCGTTATAAATAAAGATAGAATAAAAATAAAGTAAGAAAATTTTTGTTTGAAAAAATAAAATGTAGCGTATGAATTTGCTTCTACTATTCTGAGAATTATCACAATTCGAATTAAAACAACTTATAGCAATTATTATATTTAAAAAAAAAAAAAAATAAATAATGCGAAGAAACATAAGAGGGAGAGGATAATAGAGAAAAAATAATTGCAACTAAACACGTTATTAAACATATACGTACGTATCATTGGCTAACGATAATTAGACGAGTATAAGAAGATGCGTTTATAATACCAAACTCTTGGAAATTATCGATGCTAAGAAGTAAAATCTCGGAGGTTAAATGCCAAATGACGAGAAAGATAGTAAGTTGGATGATCGCGAGCCATAAAGGGGCCTCTTTGTTTATGGTATGTTCGTAGTCGTTTCGATGCACAATCGAATCTTATTTGGAGAGAGCCGCCTCTACGTAGGCGTGCATCCTTCTCATTTGTGGATCTCTCTTTCACGTCGTATAAACTCGCGCGCCTTCGTTTTAAGAAAGAAAGGAAAAGAGAAGAAAAAAATCAACAACATCGAGTAAACGTTAAATCGACGACGATTACCGATCAAAGTTTAAAATTGCGGCAATCGAATTTTTGTTAAAACAAAATTAACGAAAAATAAAATTTCGTAATATCTCGACTTGACAACAATGCAGATAAATCTTGATAGCTGAAAGAACTTATTATCACTATTGTAAGTTTACTCGAGTTCAAATATATATTATTAATTGCATAATAGCTACACATACGCATCGCTATCCGATACTGATCGCAGTTTGTTATGTTTTACCTGGAAGATATTATAGATAATCTTATATCAACATTTTATCAACAGTTTCAACATGACATCGCAAACAAACTCATTATTGCAAATTACGCGTATATATATTTTGTCAAATTTGTCGAATCTCGTGTCTTTACGAGACAAATTTCAAAACTTGTATTATCATAAACTGAATTGTTCTATCTAGATGAACCATATGATTTACAGTCGATCGAAGTAATTCGATTAATATCCTATTACTCTTAGCGTTCACGCACGTCGGCGCAAATGGAACCTGTGCAGCGTTCAAAAGATAGCTGTGCAAGCATCGTTTGTATGCACATCGATGCATATTTCTCTGAATTATCGTACACATTAGTGCATTTTAACGAAGTCACATAATAGTAGAAATAAACCTATATCGCATTTAATTTTTATAAATTAAAAAAAGCCGTGTTTTTTATATAAATAGCATAATTAATTTAAGAAAAATATATCGTAAGAAGTTAGAAATTAAAATTAAAATTAAATTCTATTTGTGTTTGCGTCGATAGAAATTTATTTTCGTCGATAGTATTTTATTTTTTATCACGGAATGATTTTTCTTGAGTAAACTTTTGAATTTAATTCACAGAATATATGGAATATACGAATTAAGAGCTCTAAGCATATTCAAGAAACCTCGAGTACAGTCAGTTACAAAAAAAAAAAACATTTGGATATCGGAATAGATTTGATTGTTATGTCAATTACAAAAATTTAGAAGCGCAGAAAACAGATATTATTATATTAAAATATAATTTGGAAATAACAAATTTATAAAAATTATTATATTACACAGTTTATTATAAAATTGTTAGTAATTAATTTTTATGTTACGAAAATATTTAGATTTCTTTCTTATTTTGATCCAAATTGGTCATTCGTTCTATCTTTTCAATACGTTATAAACTAGAAAATTATGATATATTGGTATTTCTAAAACATATGTCCATCGATACAACGAAGATTCTTGCAATCTTTATTATTTATTTCTATTATGAATATCATCGGCTGTTTTATTCTATGACTCGAAATTGCATATTCATATTGTCGCCGATCTACTATTATGTTAAATGAAAATACATGTTTTGGATTTAAATAATATGATGAATTTGCGTTTTAATATTTAGTATTATTATGAACATTAAAACACTTATTCGTATTTCTTTCTTAATATTTGTAATAATATCACGTTTATCTTTAATGCTAAAAATCTAGAGAATCAAGTATCAATCATAATTTAAAATTACTTATCGGCATTCGTATATTTCTATATGATTCTACTTTTATATATTTTACATAAATTTGAAATACAATTAATGAATGCTTGATCATTAACATCTATTACGTTTTATTTTTTTTTTTTATGAATTTCTAAAAATAAGAAAGCTATGACATTTAATAAAATATCACAATAACGGTATAAGAATTAGCTATTTTTTTTTATCCTTTATTTATATATACATACGTAATAAATAATTATTTTCGCAGTTCTATTATTTGAAAATTATATCCCAAAACAACACGATGTATTTTTATCCTTTTATCGTATTTACGATAAAATATAAAGTTATAAAAATGAAATCTATGCCGGTGTTGAAATAATTTTGTGATCGACTGTATATGTAGATATATCGAGTATTTCACTCACCAACACTTTGGTGAAGCGCCTTTCGAGTTCCACAGCGTCGGGCATTGGTTGCCTTGGCGCGCCACGGACGCTGCCACTCCGTGCGTGTGGTCCACCCAAACTTCCCATGCCAAGGCTAGGTTGATAGGATTGAAGAGGCGTGCCGCCCTTGATACCACCAATGAATACTTCACGCACACCGCCATCGCTTTCGCCGGCACGGCTCTGCACGATCCCCATTGTTTCAATCGTGGCAAATATATCCTGCGCTGTATTTGCACACGAAAATCGTGACGCACGGCAACGATGGTAGCCTGTACTGTCACACCACGAGAAACGTCAACAATGATGATCACGACAATTCATCGTCACTGGAATATAAATCACTCTTCTATCTACGACAAACGTCGATACGTGAATGACTCGAACCGGTCCGCGCCGGGTCGTGCAACAGGTATCAAGCCGTCCATTGCGGACATAAACTCTGACGAACGTGCGCGAACCAAAGCACGATCTACACTCCTCTACCTACACTAGACGAAGCATTCGCTGCATCTGTGGCAATCTCGCTACTCCCTGACCAGCATCAGCGCCATTACACATGCGTCGTATTTCGCATTAGCGCCATCTACATCGTCGCGATAATTACGTTGTATAGTTGGTAACCATGCAATTCTTAATTATTTTCTCATAGATGGAAGCACATACTACATGATGCTGAAATGAAATGATAATTAAAATTTTTCAATTTTAAAATATATATTTTTTTTACACAATATTTATTATTAACAATAACACATTTTATACGTAATTTTATATCAAATTGTAATTATTACTATTATGACTACATGCTTATATCGTGATTAATCGAATTAAAGAAAAGAAATTATTTATATGCATAAAGTTTAAAAAATTAATTTTTCATTAAAAAATATTAACGATAAAACGATAAAACATTAATATCGTAATGTATAAAACTTAAAAGAATATATAAAAAAAATTTGTATTTAAAATTATCGATAGATCGACATTTAAAGTACGATGTGCTTTATATCGAGATATCGATTGATCATTTAGCGTCTCGTAACATAAATAATATGGCGTCGTTTTAATACATCGTTTTGTAGAAAATATTATTTGTAAATATTTGTAGACTCTATGAAACAGCAGTATAGCGTAATTAACAATTTCAAAATGAAAAAGTCTCCTTTAAGTACACCAAGTGGTAGTAAAGGAAAAAAAAGTTACAATTGGAAGTCGCACGAGCATAAAAATAGAACAGGTTATAGTTATGTTAAAAGTGATAGTTATCAGTGTACTTCACCAAATGGTGGTCAAAGACAGTCTGGAAATGACTTTATTCCTTTAAATATTAGTACACCAATGCCAGAACAGAATAGAAGACACAGTAGTAATTGGCATGGTTCTGGAGGTCGTAATCATCGTAATTCAGGTAGTGGTGGATTTAACCATTACAGGAACAATTATCATGCAAGCCCAAAATCAAATTTCAATAATTTATACTCTCCTTACAAGCTCCTCAGCAAGCAATTTTATAATCACAAAAAGGTAATTTTAAAATAAAATATCATCGATATTTATATAAATATTTGGCTGTTAATGCAAGAGAATACTGAATATCTTTTTATATTATATAGGGATACCAAAAGGATTCGCGTAAACAGATTGACATATCATGCTATTTAGATATGAAATCTTTTTTAGAAGATCCTTGGGCAGAATTAACGAAAAAGTTAAACGAATCGACAGAAACGAATGAAGATGAATTCCCTAAACTTGAACAGTTTTCACCACAATCGATTTATGTAGATTCAGAACCAAATTCTGAATGTAAATCTGTAACAAATGTTGATAATTCTTGTTTTAGCCCGGAATCCAAAACTGAATCTTCCGTAGATGTAAATTTGGGATTGAACGATACAAATATTAGTAACGTATCGAGAACAGAGAGCTCGATAGATATAAAATTTGAAAATGTAAGATTTAGCGAAGAATCCAAAAATAATAGTATTTGCAATAACAATGATAATAGTAGTGAAAATATTCGAGATGAAAATAATGTTAATAACATTTGTATTTCAAAGACAGATATGGTTCAGAATTTTACATAACAGTAACAAAAGATAAAGTGCACTTTTAAGGAGAATAATTACTCTTTAATTTAGTGCAAGATAATATTAAATTTTGTATATACGAATATCCATTGTATATAGATATTGCAAAATCTATGAAACAATTGTTTCAGATTTTTGAAATAATATTCTAGCATATGGATAAAAAAAATGAAGAATTTTTTTTAGTAATGTAAATTTTTTTTTCTCTCTCTATTATAAAGTAGTTGTATGACAAAAGCATATCTAATATATATGCTAAATATGATGTATTAAAATTACATTTTAAATTATATTTTCACAAGAAGGCTGTGAAAAAGATGAATGTAGTTTACAAAAATGAAAAAATAATACATGTGCAATTCTTTAGTATGTACTAAAAAAAGAAGTACATATGGAATATGAGGGAACATTGAACACCAATTTCTTAATAATAGATTAAGTCTTTAAAAACAGTTGAAAATATAGCTCAAATGCTATGATATAAATTCAATTCATAATCAATTCTATTTTCTATTTGCTTAAGCGATTTTTTGAACGAAAATTTATAAACTTATAAAACTAAAATCCGTTGAATATCGATTATTAATTTTAATTTAATCTAATCTATATATCTCTATATGTACTCTTTTTCATAATAATACAAAAATATATAAAGAATTGACAGTGTATATTGTAACATGCATGTAGCAAATGCAATGCATTATACACAGATGTAGAATTAAGTAATCATAAATCATGTGCAAACTTATGCGAGATTAACTTTAAATCTTTTGTTAACAGTACCATTATTATGCAGGATGAGTCACAAGAATATCTAAATATCTTATTTATTTGTCATTGTGCCAAAAAATTCGGAATAATGTTGTATCGTTTGGAGGTATACATGGAATGATGAAAAAAATTCTTCTCAATTCTCATAAACGTTTTCTTGCGTTTAAACTTTCATAAAAAAAAAAGGTAGTATGCTTATTACACATACCTTCAAATATTGTAACATTGTTTTTAGAACTTCTTTAGTACAATAATAAATGGAAGAGATATTTATGTTTTCTTTCTAATAATGTCTCATCCTGTATACATGTAATTTTTTATTTATAAATCATGACATAAAATTTGTCGTAAAATATATTTTATTTGTACATATTGAAAATAACATAAAAGCATGAAATATAAAATATTAAATTTATAAAATTAATAATAAAAATTAGAATATTAGATTTATATGATCGTTAATGTAGATAAAGTAATACGTGAAAAAATTGTTTATTTCTGAACTTTACACACTTTTATAGTATGTCTAAATGAGTGATGGACTATAGAAAGTGATAAAAATGTCCAATATGTTCGATTAATATGCTAACTTAATGTACAAAATGATCTGGTACAAAATTTACATAATTTAAGATATTCCAGTTTATTTCAAAATTGTGATTTTACATGATTGTGCAAAAGATGTAATTGATGTCTAAAACATTAATTGTATAAATAATGTGTACAAGAAAAAATGTAAAAATATATCTAAAAAAAATATATATATATATACATATATATATATATATATATATACCATATATATGTATGTATATGATAGTATTAATTTCAATATCCTTTTAAATAATATATACGAATAATCCATCATTTTTTTATATATATATTTTTATCGATTGTTAAAATTTGAAGAATTAATTTTCCAATAGTAAAAAATAAAAAGAATCGAATTGCTTAGTTTATGGGCTAAATTTTTTAACATATCGAATTAAAAAAGTTTAAATTCTTAGAAATAATTTAAGACTAATTTTTCTCGAATATTTTCTTTCGTCTATAATAGTTAAAAACATTATTTTGAGAAAAATAATTATGTATATATACGCTACATCGTCTATTTAAATAAACGGGAATATTATTTGTTCAAAAATATTAGTCTCAAATTATTTATAAGAATCTAAATTAAAATTTAAATCGTTAAATTTAAAAAAAAAAAAGAAACGAAAATGTGCTCAATTGACATCCCGTACCTCGTCTGTTGTCACGCTACAGGAAATTATAGACAAGGAAAGGAGATTGTGAGACAAGGACGGAAATAAGGTAAAAATATTGAAGTCAACGCCATCTTCAGAGTGCCGCAAATGAAACATAAAAAAAAAGGATAGAACAATTGACTATGAATCATTAGCACCATCTCGCGTATACTTTTAAAAAGATGATTGAAGAAATGCTTTTGATACTCGAGAGATGGCGCCTATGATTAATTCTTACCTTATCTCTATCCTTCTCTTATTATTTTCGGTCTTTACTTTTTGCGTTTTATTTGTGGCATTCACAAGATGGCGCTGACTTCAATATTTTTACCCAATCTCTGTTTTTCTCCCATTATTCGTTCTTGTTCGTTCGTTGATTATTCTATAAAATTTATGCGTTCAAAAAGTAGTTTCAACGTTTAATTAATTTTATGCCTCTTTGATTCATATAGAGAATTATTTCTTAAAATTGTGCATTAATTTTAAGTATAACGTACAGCTATATTTGCATATATACGTCTTATTCACTGATCAAAGTTACATCGCTCGATTGCTATATCGAGCGAATTGCATTTGAAATCGATATTCTGATACCAATTGACAATTTGTAGCATGAAACTTAAGAATCGATACATATTTGATCATTTTAGTATCAGTGTGTAAACTTGTACGTACTTGATGTTATTTCTTGCATTTGTAGTACATAACCTTATATAGGACAAATATACAAGTTTATATCGTATAATTTGTAAAAATCAAACATGATGAAATTTCACAAATCCGAAAATTGTATATTTTTCCTTTTTCTTCGATTAATATTTAGAACGATAATATAATCTATGAAAAAATAAACGTATATAACAAAATAAACATTTATTATAACATGTTGTCTACATTTCAAGTACGTTATTTATAATTCAGATATGGTAGAGAGATTTAAAGGGCATTAAAATAATATCGAGCATAATAAATATCTATAAATATTGTATTTTACTTTTCAGTTTGATTGAAATAAAATCGATACAGTATGAATAACGGAATTAATCCAATGAAAAAAGTAGTCTCGCACGTTTATCTAGAAGGAGGGAAATTGATTACAAAAGTTTAAGGATAGGATCTATTTTTCCATTTTTTTCATTTACATTTAGTATTCCATTGATATTCCATTGATGGTATTTCTTCATCTATTTATCGAATATTTCGTATCGACAATATAATAATGATATTGTCAAGAAAAAGGAGAACGGAATTGATGACCGTTAAAAGACGGTATAATTATTCGATATACGATATGAAAAATATTGAAATTGGAGTGATATATATATATATGTAGCGAAAAGGATTTAGTATATTTGAATTTAGTTAGGATCAACAGATCATGTTTCTCGTTCGCGTATTTATACGCTATAAATTATATAACTTGCGTGATTCTTAGATGTACTATACAAAATTATCGATATAAAAAAAATATCAACGTTAATAGTATTTTAATACAAATTACATTTTTTTATCGGATATGCTCGTTTCAGAGATCATATAAAAATCACGATTTCTATTTTATTTATCGTTTAAATAAATAAAGACTTATTTATTAACGTAATTAAATAAAAGTATCGTTCTTTCTTTCCTTCCTTGTTTAAAATTAACATTTAATCTATAAATTTTGTTAATTATATTGTAACCGAACGTAACGATATAATATATAATGTCTTTTTTTATATTTTTATTACAAATCTAACTTTTAGAATTATTTATCAAAAAAATGAAAAATCGTCGAATCAAATTTAATCGTATCTTTTTCGTTTTGTGATATTTTAAAAAATAAGTGATAACAAATGATATATTTTCATGCAGTTATATATATATATATATATATATATATATGTTAAACTAATAAACTGGAAACTTTATTGGCGATAAATATTAATATTGGTCATCGTCGTAGACACGAACTTTTTCGTTAGATAACAATTTTTATACAATTATTTTCATTCTCACTCATTTCCCATATCAATTTGCAATAACAATAAATAGGAAAGTTGCGTCAAAGCTTCAAGTCGATCAAATGATCGTTCAATATAGCACTGATCCGCTTTAGATCAACATGATCAGAATTCTAACCTAAGTAAGTACATACATATATGTATATATATATACAGAGATACTACATTCGCTTGAAAACACGCGTCTGCTACTGATATTTTCTTTTTCTTCTTTCTTTCTTTTCTTTTTTTTTTTCCTTTTTTTTTCTCAAAAATTGCTTAATTCGGGAATTTCTTAAAACTTCCTACCTTCGTAAGAGAATATTTTAACTTTTCTTCACATATTTGGTCTCTTTTTTTAAAGCTATAGTTTTATTAAACATCGGAGGTAATCGATTCTTCTTTCTTTCCTTCTTTCTTTCTTTTCTTTTCTCGAAACAGGTCTCATGCCCGTTACGTAACCTTATTTTTACGAATACTCGAATAATAATCCATCGTTATTTCGTATATCCAATATTTTCTCCTATATATACACGTATATATTTTTCGTTGTATATGTCATTCTCGATATTTTCCCCCTTTACATTTCGAGAACGATCAATTTTCGAATAAATATCTTTATATAGCGGGAAAATAATTCAGGATCGAAGAAATATCAACGCGTTGCATAACGTGTGTGTGTGTGTGTGTGTGTGTGTGTGTGTGTGTGTGTGTGTGTGTGTGTGTGTGTGTGTGTGTGTGTGTGTGTGTGTGTGTGTGTGTGTGTGTGTGTGTGTGTGTGTGTGTGTGTGTGTGTGTGTGTGTGTGTGTGTGTGTGTGTGTGTGTGT